TAGCATTAAATACCACACGTATTTTACTCGTACAGCTAGATTTTTTAATTACTGCATGATAGTATGCCTGACTTGGGGACTCTTAACTACAGACTGGTTCCATGTGCCCGAGATCTAAGTATTCCTTCATGAAATGTTTATACATATCATATGTATCAGGAGATCTTAAGAGATTTCTCTCTAAAGATTTAAATCTTTGTAAAGCAAGATCTTTAGAATTACCCAACCTTGAAGGGTTATCTTTAAATGGAAGTTTCACTACATAACGACCATTTTGATCACGGAAGTGTGTTGTTTTAAAGAACTCTTCACATTTTTATCTTCACTTGAAATACGTTTGACTTCAGAAATGGAGTCTAAAGACCAAAATCTTTCAACTAATTCGTTTGTATTCAACTGAAGATTATTCACTGTAAAAGTGTTAGTTAGATTCGAATCATCAGTAATAGTGTTTCCCGGAAATGATCCAACCCAACTGAGAACAAATTGCAAAGGGTAATGATTCTCCTCTCTTTATGATGTCTCCCTTAAGCATAGTAAAAAATACATTTACACCTAACAAAATATCTATAGGTTTTCTTTCATAGAACTTAGGATCAGCTAAGACTAGATCGTCAAAATGATTCGCAATTTTAGAAGGAAGCGACACGTTAGGCACATCTGAAGTTATCCTTGGAATCACGAATGCATATGTTCGAAATTTGGAATTTGACTCAAAGTGCGGGGTAAAGATTAATTCCACTTCTCCACTTGTTACAGTGTTGAACGAACCAAGGCACGATACTTCAATTTTTTTGTTAAATCTACCTAACTTTAGTTTTCTGACACACTCTTCACTTATAAAGCTGGCTTCACTGCCACAGTCTAGTAAAGCCCTGCAAGGATGGCTTTACCATTGGAATCACTAACTTTAATGAGAGCAGTACACAGTAATACACGTTTTGATTCACCTTTAGAATAACTAAATTGTCCTGTACATGTTGTGGCATTTGTAACGACTTCATTCTTTGGTAAGAACACTTCGGCTCTTTGGGGGAGAGTGAGGACGTTTTGTTTTGGTTTCTCATTTTCACTAGTTTTGATATTTCGATCAAAATGAAGAACAGTATGATGATGCTGAGGTAACTTACACATCATACATTTATGTAAACTACGACAGTTTTTCTCTAAATGAAGCTGAGAAGATAAACAATTAAAACAAAGTTTGTGTTTCTTAACAAATTCGATTCTTTTTGGGGCACTTAAGTTTAAAAACTTACCACATTTGTGAAGAGAATGATCTTCCTTGCACATTATACAACTTATATATACTTTGGAATATACTTTGGAATTAGAAGATTTCCTAAAATCTTTAGATTGGTTTCTACTATTCTGAAGGGTTCTAGCGTGGTCTTTTAGAAACTCGAGTAAATTATCTAAAGTACCTAATTCATCTTTTTTCAAAGTTCTTTCCCACCAAAATTTTATGTTTTTATCTAATTTCTCAGTTATCAGATAAACAGAAAGAACATCAGAAAGATCAGAAACTTCTAGCTTAAGAGTTCTCAAAGAGCGTACACATTCATTCACTACATCAACACAATGTAAAATAGCTTGAGCTGAATCAGAAACATTTGGCAAATTAAACATTTTACGGATTAATGCATTAGTTAATTCTCTTTTATTAGAATAACGTTCCTGTAAAAGTTGCAACGCTATATCATAATTAGCATCAGAAATAGGAATTGACTCAATAATAGACAGAGCCTTTTTTTTTTACAAGAAGCCTTTAAATATTGAAACTTCTGACATTTAGAAATATTCGGATTGTTATCTACACTAGCCTTAAAAAGATCATAGAAACTAATCCACTCATCTATATTTTCCCCTGTAAAGGTAGAAAGTTCTAATTTTGGTAATCGAACGTCAGACGAATTTACTTTTGCTACACTACTTGTTTCGATAACAGAGTCACTGGAAAGTTTTCTGTAACTTTTTATTTATAGTTATCCATAATTCATCTAAAGTTTCTTGTATTGTTTGTTGTTCCGTAATGAATGTATCACAATCTTTTCAGGACACAACAAAAATATTTCCTCATAAATAGAACGAAGCTCACTGTTAAAAGCATTTAGTTTCGTTTCAAACAACTTTACCTCTAAAATTTCTGCTTGTTCTAAATTCGAATTTACCTCGCCTTTAAACGTTGTTATATTGCTTTTTAAAACCTTCTTTTTAGTTAAAACTGGTTTCAAATCAGCCATTATGAATAACAATAAATATTATACTAACAACTCTAGCAAAAGAAGATGAAATTTTGGAACGTACTCACCCCAATGTTGAGGTTTCTACGCTACACCATGCCACGGGAATATTCCACAAATCAAAACTTAATTCACCACAGATGCCACACGCATAATCCACAAATCGAATCGAAAGAACACTAAGCTGTTTATTAATCCACAAATCAAAAGTGATTTAACTTGATAATATTTGAATAAATCACATCATATCCAACGCTCGCTAACTCTTCTCTCCGGTCGCTACGGACCAGGAATGTTAAGAATAGGTTCACAAAAAAAAGTAAGCGCACTGTATATATCACTTGTTTATTTTACATAACACTTTGAAATAGAAGGAATGCCATCCATGTGACGACACAGCTCACGTCACTCTAAGCACTGTAGCAATTAAAAAAAGAATAGAATACAAATCACATAAGTTATGAGTTGAAAGAGTTGAAAGATCGTTACCATAGCAACCAGAATTGAATCATCAGGCAGCAACGCCATCTATTGTTGCAAAGACACACTAGTAATTCGTTTGGTAACAAAAAATGCTAAACATACAGTATTAGGCGTTTAGTTTACGTTTTGGCCAACAGATATCGTTAGTTTGTCCACTAAATTGCGGCATTTGAATGCATGTGGTATTAGCGCTCAAACTTCACTTTTCGCCGCTTTTTTCTTACAGAAATGGCTGCTAGAAAACTTTCAGTGATTATCTTGATTATTTCATTAAATTATTGAATTATTAATTGGATTAATAATTAGATTGATTATTAACTAGATTTATTGAATCTGGTGCAAAAAATGTGAAGTTGGACTTTGCCTTGAACCCTGTTTTGAACTCTATCATACTAAACTGCATTTCTAAGGTATTTTTTCCTCAGCACTTTATATTTTCTTAAATTTTATACATTTTACTTTTTTATATTATGCAATAAATAGAAATTAACTGTAATTCAACTGAAATTTATTTTTAAAAAGTTTTTTTTTTTTTTTTTTTTTTGGTGATAATATCTGAAATTGATTTTTCTGGCAACTTAGTTTCTCATGATAAAAATCTATATAAAAAATATTTTCTAGAAAGAAAAAGTGCATTTCTCAATTCTCCAATATATGTATAGATTTAAAATTTGCAATAAAAAAATACGCAATTTTGGAAGCGATTTTGGTCCATAAATTGAGCAGTCAGAGGGTTAATTACTCCACCTAGAAAATCAATGATGGTTATTATTTAATATTAATATTTTGTATTAACATTTTATCAAGTAATGATAATTTTAATTTATTGCTTTGAACTAAGCTCTAAAAACTGTATTTAATTGTGTTCTAGTTAATGAAATATGTCACTTAAAGCATTTCCTAATTTTGCTTTGTAAACACTTTGGGACAATGCTTTTTAACTTTTAATATTGTCGTGTAAATGAGGGGATCCTACAAATGAACAGGCAAGTACTGAAGTCTAAACTCAAGACTTTTTATTAACTCGAACTGAATGAAGAGCTACTTATAAACATTTGGTGAACAATCTGGAACATTCCAGTCTAGGAATGTTCTGGAAGAATAAGAAGGAAATTTACATAAATAAGATAACATTAACAAGAAAGAAACTTACATAGAAACCAATTATCAGGCATCTTGCCATTGTTGGGTTTCGAACCCGGGACCTTCGGGTTTCAAGTCCTGCATCTTCTCCACTAAGCTATGTGGAGCTCAGTCGAAAAGAGCAATTTTCGCTACATTATTCATTTATTACAGTTGACAAAATTATGTCTCATACAATATATATGCTGCAAGAAAAAAATTATGCAACAAAATATGTTCTCATTGCTTTTTGCTCGTAATACGTTTCAGTTGAACCATTTAAAAAAAAAAAAAAATCGCTCAAAATTTGCAGTACTGCTTAACGATATATGGTGAAATATTGTCAGCTATGAAATGTAAACAAATGAAAGCACACACGATTTTCTGCTTGTTTATTGGCTGTCGCTAGTGGACACTTCCAGTTAGTGTGAACAAGCTAGGTTAGATAGATCCGTGTTGCGTATCAAGTGTGAATGGCCAATAAGTGACCATGGTTAGGAATGCCAGCCATACTGCAAGAAGTCACTTGCAAAGTGCATTAACGAAAACCCAATAACTAGGAATAACAAGGACCATAATTATAATATGTTCCAAATTTTCTGTAAAATAAAAGCCAATTTAAGGTGTTTAATTTTGCCTGTTTTTTTTTCACATAGGTATCTTTTTTTTTTCATCCTAACAATTAGATGGTTTAGTTTATTTGGTTATTACAAAGTATGATGGCTATCTGCCTAAGGGAAGGGATGCCTTTGTGGAGGACTTTCTAATGGAAACTTGCTCGTATACATGTTTACACATAGGGAAAAACAACAAAAATGCCCATTCACACAGCTCGTTCGCTGTAATTTGAACCTCATACCCAACTACCAGTGTTCAGTGACTTTACCACTGGAGGGGACGGTAAACAATTAGAAGTAATATAATGTAATAAAAAATTCAGCATCTCGAACAAATTATCTGTCCCTTTGATCAGTGCGTAATTCTTTGTTCATATCTTATACGAAAGTTACATTTTATATGTTTTATTAAAAAGTGGAGTTGATTCTAGTTAATTTTGCATTAACATTTTTTTAAATGTAATACATATTGAAGTTCTGTATTCTGCATGACAAAATTATGTCTATTTTTCTTTTTATGTGAGATCTCTTTCAGATTTCTGTATATTCCTTTGATAATGGCTGAACGAGCCTGGGGTTATGCCATGCAACTAAAACAGGAAGCGAATACTGAACCTCGAAAGAGATTTCATTTGATTTCTCGACTAAGAAAGGCTTCAAAAATTGCATGTGATTTAGAATCATTGTGCGAAAGTTCAAAATGTGATGCAAGAACAAAACTTGAAGCTCAAGTATTATTTTTTTCTTTTATGTAATTAAATTCTGTTATTAAGTATTTCAGTTGGTGTTGCATCACTTAATTAAGTTTGACTATAAACTTATTCATAGTTTTTGTCATATGGATCTTTATTGAAATACATCTTTAAGTTTGATTTACAAAGAGATAACTCTCTTGTTTGTAATTTTTCTTTCCTTAACTGGGGAAGCATTTTGAGGTATGAATAAATGTAATGTTTTAGTGGTTCCGTTTGAGTGAAATTATTTCTTTAAAATAAGTATAGTTGTTGTAACTGTGTATATATTTGTTGTATATATATTGTATTTCGCACATGCTTGACATGAATACAAGCCAGTGTGCTTGTAACATGAATTTGAGTAAGTTAACAATATTTAAGCCTTTTGTGGAGAACAATAATTTCCATGAACGCATCTCTTCCCGTATGCAGGTAACTGTAGCGAGTTTTGCTATACTCTGATAAATTCTAATCCTTCTTTCAGCTTGAAAATCCATATGACTAACTTCTATAAAATTATCTGCTGTTCTTGGTGGTACTACACTCATTCTAACTATGTTGTTAATTACATGCATCTGTGTCAGCTAATTTAAAAATTGTTTTCAGTTGAAAGAATTTTGTTCATAAAAAAGTAACCTCTGTATGATACTAAATGGCAAAAAAAACCTAAGAAAAATCTTTCCCTGTGAAAATGTTCCATACCTTATTTTACTTTATTTTTTTAAAGGAAATTAAGTTGAAAACAACATAAAATTATGAAAGAGCAGCAGTATTGTTGCAACTGGTGATCTACCGAATTTTGTATGTTAGTTAATTAGTTTTGTAATAAATGGTCCATTCTCTTTTTCAGGCAATATTTTGTTTGTAAAAGCAATGTTTATACTTATCGTTTCTTTCACTTGCAATTTTTCCATTGAATTTGCGAAGAGCTTTTAAAATGCTGTCTTTGAATCTTTGTTATCAGTTTATTCTTAAATAAATCTCACGGTTGCATTATAAAGAATTGAATTAAGAAACAAAGAAATAACTGTTATCTTAAGTGGCAACAGGTTTTAATTTATCTTTCTTAAATTCATTATCTCTCTTTTTTGAACACTCCACTTATAACAAATTGTTTGTAAATAGGATTTTAAACAGCTACATATAGCAGTACAAAATCGGGTGTATTTTGTCTTACCTCTTATCTGTTTCATTCACTATATGCATAAAATTCTTAATACACTCTTTTGCAAAAAAATCGAAGCACCATGAAGGAAGTGGTTGTTTTTGATGAAATTGAATATGTGTATAGCTCATACACAGATAATAAAATGATTAAAAAATCAAGGTCGTAGTACCTGTTCATGGCTCACAATCACCCATTGAGTGTTCAAATTAGTAGTTGTTCAAATCGCCCCTGGCGGCAATACATGCTTGAATTTGTCGAGGCAAGGAGTGGTAGAGGTTCCTAATGTCATCCTGCGACACATTCTGCTAGGCATTCATCAGTTGTCGCTCCAGATCTGTGGTATTTTGTGCTGCCCAAATCTGGCAGCTTACCATGTCCCAGACATGCTTGATTGGTGAAAGGTCTGGTGATCTTGCTGGCCAAGGAAGAGTATCAGCCGAATGGAGGCAGTCCAGAGATGTGCAAGTGGTATGTGGCCTGCATTATCTTGTTGGGAAATGGCCCCAGGATGACATGCCATGAAGGGTAATGTAACCGGCCATAGGATGGTATCAACATATCGTTGAGCTGTTAAAGATGTATGGAGGATGACTAAATATGACCTGTTGTCATAAGAACTAGTGCCCTATACCATCACGCCATGGGTTATGGCTGTATGCCTTTGTAAAACAAAGGCTGATTGGGACCGCGGGACCCGTCCTCTCCAGACAGAAACATCGTGGTCATCTGCTTCGAGAGTGAAGCAGGATTCATCGCTGAACACTATACGATGGCAGCCATGATGATCAGCTGCGACACCACTCCAGACGACTCCGTCGATGTTGTGTGGTCAAAGGCAAACGTCTTAAAGGCTTCTGACACTCCACCTCAGACAAGCACCATGAGATGGTGGATGCCAAAGGAGATATAGATGTTGCTGTAGTGCGTTGAATAGTAGACAATGCTACCGTTGGGGCGGTTCCGGCCTGGCAAACAGTCATCCTATTTTGCCTCGCATTTGTGCTCCTTGGCCTTCCAGAGCTTTCATTTCCTTGTAGCAATTGCTGCCAACATCTTTGCACAGCAGTGTCTGTACGTTGCAGGTGGTGGCCTATTGCTCAGTATAACCACCCAGCTTCACGCACCCTACAATGTGACCACATTTGAAGTCGTTTAGTTGTCTGTAAGGTCTTTGATATCGTTGTAAAGGCATCTTTATTTGCTTCTTTACGGAATTACAATGGCAGCAACAAAAAAAGATCAATTGTCTGCCTCTGTTACTGGTTTTATACTTTGCGAATTGAGCATAGAAATGTGCGCTATGATTACAATTCCTGTTCATTTGCCTTGAAACTTTGATCATTTGCATGTTCGATCAAAATGTTGTTGCATATCAAATTTCGTCACGATCGCAATAGTCCTTCTTGGTGCTTCTTTTTTTTTTTTCCAAAACAGTGTATAATCTATATCCATAACATTTAGGGGCTTACTTTCAGCTATATTAATTAACATTGAGTAATCCATTAAAATAATTTAAACAAGCTAATCTAATAAATAAAAAAAAAAAAAAAAATTTAAATTCACCTTTTTATTCCCACACTGAAAGTTTTCTTATACGTACCATAAAACACGGAAACAGAAATAAATATTTTGTAGAATGTAGAAAATTATTAAATAATAAATGTGATCATGCAAATTTGAAAGATAGTTCTGAATTTTTAATTGGCTGTCTCATTGGCTGATGGCATACTGAATGATGTGGGGAAATGACTGCGAAAAGAGGTGGTACTATCTGTTACAAAAACTAATAACTAAGGAACAAAATTCGGTAGATTGCCAGTTAAGACAATACCAGAGCTGCTGTAAAATGTTGATCTGTGTGAAAAAAAATAGCAGCTAAACTGATGCAATGTCCCTTGTTGGTTTTGCTACATAATTAATGGGATTAACTGTAGTCATTATATAGTCATATAATTAGTGTAAGGGCAAAAGTATGGGGAATAGATTATACCTGAAGGCCATGTTGTGAATAATATCAGGATTGTGATATATAACATGAGAAAATTATTTTGAGAATCCACTGACATTATTTTTCAATAGGTACAGTATCTGATACAGCGTACATTATTATAAACCTTCTCAGCATTATGTATGGAAAATTCCATATGGAAGGGTGGATTTTGTGTTCATTATATGTACATAAAAATTTCTACGCGGATTTATTGTACCCGATCTCGGGTTAGATGTGCGTTGGAAGAAAAGGAATCAAGGTACAAAGTAAAAGAGGCATTTTTAAACTGTAATCAAGAAAATACTATTTATCCATGATATTTTGAGAAACTTAGAAAACTAAACAATTACTAAACATGTAATGCATGGAGGTTTAATAAATTGTTGCTTCAAATTTTAAATAAATTAATTATTTTTGGAAATTTTACATGTAGCCCAATTATTAATATTTTTTATGTAGTTGAAAACTGTGGAATGTAAATATGCTGTTTTAAATTTAACCCTTTGACTACTAGTGAGACATATAGGTTTCACTAAAAGTTTAAAAGTTACTGTTGGGTTGAAAGGTACTTAGAATCTCCTAAATGTTGTGGATCATCTTCCAGTAGTTGGAAAATTGAGATGCCGCTGTGCTCGTTGTACACAACTGAACAAATATCCATTGCCCTATGTGTAATGTTGGGTTATGCAAAAAATTTTTTACCCTGTACCATACAATATAAATCTATTTCATGCAATAAAGTTTTCCAGAATAATAGGTGGGCTTATTCAGTAGAAGTCCAGAAATTCACAAAGCTTGGGACCAGAGGTTGTGCGGATTTCAGGACAGAAAAGATAAATCATAATATTCAGACTAAAAGTGCAAAATAAATAAGGCGTATTAGATACATTTAATTAAATTATTATATACATTATTGCAAGAATTTATTATATGCATTAAATCATAATTACATATATAAATTGTTTATATTATTCATTGTACAGTCAAAAGTTGTTAATCCGGACTCGTCGGGACTTCGGCGATTACGGATTATCGATTTTTCCGGATTATAGATCATCAGTTTAAATCTGGTAAAATGGCATGCAGAAATTATAAAATTAAAAATATGAAACCGTAATTTACGAAATAAAGAACAATTATGATCTAAAGGGTATCAAAATTTACAAAAAAAAAAGCTTAATATTTATTTGTTTACTTTATTAAACATTTCTTTCAATGTAAGTTGTTTAAGTTGCTTCATTTTTTATGTGATAATACATTCTCTTTAATTCTATAAACAGACATAATTTCGTGTTCAGTTACAAAGTTCCGCTGTTCAAGTCCTATAATTGCTGTGTCAAGAATACCGACTAATTTGTCAATCGAAAATTTTCGTTTTCAATAACCTCTATCACTTTCTTCGCTATCCGAAGCGAATTATAATGACGAGGCATTTGATTTAAATCATATCAAAGACACATCGAGATGAAATACTACATTGAGTAAGCAATTATAAGCGAAATAAAATAAAAACATCTGCTCTTAAGATAAGGATAGTGCTGGATCAACTTCCAATTCATTGCACGCCCGGTGTTAAAGATAAACAATGTTTAGATAAACAAACGTTAAAGTTTACATAAACAAACGTTAAAGTTTACATAAACAAAGGATATGCCATTATCCATTTTTTGTAGCAATTCTACTTTTTGTTTAATGGACTCCGAAAGATACTTTCGCTTTGTATATCCTTTACATATTAGTAAATATATATCGGAAATTCTATTTGACATAATCGAAAGTTCAAGCTTACTTTTGCTCTAACAGTCTGCAAAAAATAATAATCCGGATCCAATTCGAAGATTAAGGAACAACGCAATTTGCAACATTAACTGAAATAGATAATTAGATAATTTTAGCTTAGCTTATCCCATCCGTTATACATTAAACGCGCATTCGTAAACGTATTTTGCGCACGCTCACATGCAAATTCGCAGCGGTAAAGGTCTTACGCGCTTGACGCATGCGCAGAAAAGTTTGTAGCTTTGAGGTCCGGATTATAGATCATTCCGGATTATGGGTGTCCGAATTAACGACTTTTGACTGTATTATATGTACACAGCATTGAGGTTTGCCAATTTCACCTCATGCAAAGATTTCCGGTTTCGGATTCCAGTGTTAGAATCACTGTTGCTGTAAAATTTTAACAGTTTTTCTTTATATTTCCGTATATCATGCGCAATCGTGTCACAATTCCATACGATTCTGGTAGCACCTGCCTCCATCTTTTGCAGAATTTGCACTTTTTGCATTACCATCAGTCAGTGCAACGTGTTAACGCTTTTCAACGTTGCAAGCAGTATGAGTGCATTTCTTATCTGTAATTGTATTAAAAAGGACTGAAATTTAAAATATTCTTAATTTATCCACAAAATATCAGGATTAAAAAAAGAAAAAGGCAGCACTAAATAATCTCATGAAATAACAAAGCTCAGAAAATACAACATGAATCGTGAACTTGAAAGAAGAGTTGAGTGAATCGTGTGCTTTTTTACCTCGATGCAAATTAGAGGGGGGAAAACTTTTATCATGATGTTAATAATTTAGTATTCCCGTTATGACTCATTATTATTCGGTAATTATGACGTCGTTATTCGGTAAGTATTGTTTCTTCGATATTTCATACTCAATGTTGCGTTTTCCAGAACCTATAAACTGAATGTTTATATTTTGAGAGGCAACGCGGATTTCAGGTCGCCGGATTTTCGGTATTTGACTGTAGTATGTTGATTGCTATTTGTGGGACATATGTATCCCACCGTTAACTACAGCCAGGGCATATGTGTTCCTGTCTTTGGCTTGAAAACCATTCATCAAAAAAGTCCCAAATGCTAAATTTACCTTATTTATGACATATTTTGTTTCCTTGGATAGAAAATGGGGTATATATATATATATATATATCCGATCAATGACAATAATTACATGTTTTAATTTTTACTTTTGCAATTGTAATGTTATTCTTCGTGATGATTTAACTCCAGTCCCCGTTAAAACATTATTAACATTTTGCTTTCAAATTACTTCAAAACATCTTTCAAAATATAACTTACCAGTATGGATGCACACTTTTAAAATAATTCTACTTTAATTAAACTTAGGAGATAATATAATCAATTAATCAATACGGTTTAGGAAATAAATTATTATATATATATATATATATTTTGATTTGCAGTCAAAGGTTAATGTTTAATGGTACAGTCTGAAATTATTTGGAAAATCATTAGTTATTTATTAATTACCTATACCTTGTTAATGTTTGATATGCATTATTTTGCTTTAAACCTGTAGAAAAGTTTTATGATACAGTAATATCTTAATGTAGCAGATGTGAACAGAATAAGAACATTGCATTGGCATGCTGTGCTTTTAAAAACTTCAAGCTGTACTAAGTCTTTATCAGCTGCAATGAAAGTGAATACTTTTAAGCTTAGTTATAAATTTTAGTTTAATATTTTTAAAATTTAAAAATCATTAGTAAAATCAGTAGTTTAATATTTATTGCATTTTTTCATGCATTCTTTCAAATTTCTTCCTGAAAGTAGTTTAATCATTGCCTGGTTGAGTTACTATAATAATATCTTTAAATCTTTAGGCTTATGCAGCATGGATCAAAGGGTCACTGTTTTTTGAAATTCAAGAATGGCAATCTGCAATTGAGTGTTTCCGTATATCACAGTAAGTCCTTACTTTTTCTATCAGTGTTAAAAATATTCACAAATATTTGATTGCTTATAAATTGTTAAAATTCTCAAACGTGAAACATAAAGCAGCAATTGTGTTTTACATCATCATCATCATCCATGGCACAACAACCTAGAATGCTCCAAGGCCTTCTGAACCAGACTTTCTAGCCACCTCTACTAGCAGCCGGACTCCTCTAATTCTTAGTTTTAAGGACTAAGCAATCCTCCTCTACAGCATCTATCCATCGAAGTGTAGGTCATCCTCTTCTTGTGTCACTTTGTGTAGCCAAAAATATTTCTTTTAGTATGTTATTGTTGTTCGCATGGATAACATGCTCAACACAATTGAAGTGGCTTATTTTAATGTAATGAACATTTGGTGTAATTCAGTGTTGTGTCTTCTATGCCAGATACCATTTTCCTGAATTCCTCCAGAAAAGGTCTTAAGACATTGGGTTCAAAAGTACCACAGATCTTCTTTTTCCTTCACAGTTGTAATTCAGGTCTCCAAATCATAAGTCAACAGGTTAGATTAGAGTCTTGCAGAGTAATAGTGCTTTGTCTCTTCAGATAAAATGCCAAATCTAAGTAAATGCTTTAATCCATAAAAAGATTTATTACCGATAACAATATGTCTCTTTATTTCGGGTAGGATATCATTGTTTTCATTAAACATCGATCCCAGATAGATGAAATCTGTAACCTTTTCAAATTTATAATCCCCAATTAAGAGATGAATTGGTGTATAAGTATTTCCAATATTAGTTATATATTTAATTTTATCTTGGCTAATAATAAGGCCCACTGGTGTAGCCTCCTTCTCAATAGCTTCAAACTCTCCAATTCAATATCTTTTGTTTCTGACCACGAGTCCTATGTCATCTTCAAAAACCAGTACTTGAACAGATTATCTAAAAATACTACACTACCCTTGGTGTCTGCTCCAGACTTCCTGATGACCCTCTTCAACACAATTTTGAATAAAAGGCAGGAATGGGCATCTCCTTGTCTCTCCCTTATCAATGAGGAAACCACTAGAAAGGTATCCGTGAATCAAAACCTTGCTAAAAGTCGCACTAAATCTAATTTTTACTAATTTTATCAGTTTTAAGGGAATATCAAAATCATGCATTGCTCTTAGAAATTTGTTGCAGTTGTGGAATCATATGCCGTTTTATAGGCAATAAAAAAAAAGATGAAATCAATATTAAATTCATGGAATATCTCCATAATTTTTCTTAGACCAAAGATAAGGCCCACAGTTGATTTATCTGTGCAGAATTACCTTGATAGTCACCAATAGTTCTATTTACATAAGAAACTAATCTTGTACTGTAGTTTGGAGAAAGCTGTATAGCAAGTGCTCAATAAACTTATCCCTCTATAGTTTCACAAGCTAAAGAATCGCCTCTTTTTTAAGTAAATTGAGCAACAATGCTTATGAGCCAGTAATCTGCTTTAATGGCCTGGCATCCAATCTTGTGGCATCTTCTCACTCAACAAGATGTTGCATAATCTAATGAAATTTTCCCTCAGCCGAATTCGTTTGCTTTCAATGAAGAAATGATTTTCCATTTTGCATTGATTGTAATAATGTTATTGCATCTGTACATGTTTATTTTTTACATATTTGATTTATTCACTTAATTTCCTTATTTGTTTGGGGTGTATATGTTACATCGTTAGCTACACCTACGCACCTCAGCCCTCTAGCAGCATCATTCTGAAGGATTCTATGGGAAAAGCTCCATAGCTTTTGGTCATCCATATTTTAAAAGCTGTGCCTGTATGATATTGAGTCCATATCTTTATAGTTTTTAAGCTCCTTGGCAGCAGGTACTGTTTCCTGCAAACTTGGTGATGCCAAGATTTCTTCCTTTGTTAATATCAAAAGAAAATAGCTTTATATAGTAGCAATTATTTGCTTCTGTTTCCCATGTTGCCATTTAATCTTTTTTCCGCCTTTTTCAATGTCAGATTTAAAAATTTGAAATGAATGAGGCTAAAGTTTAAATATATGTGTGAGTTTATTAGTCAGCCCTCCAAAAACATTAACTTTAGTCTTTTCTCCCCCTTTCTGTGTATATTAAGCGGCAGGAAATGTATTTAAGGTTAGAATTCTAATTGACAGTACTTACACATTTACACAACCATCATGATGAACTTTTGTGTCAATATGTTTTGTGCGTGAACTGAATTTTTCAGATTCTACAAGTCTTATAGTAGACTGATTATCTTCAAATACCTTTATCGGTAGAGTTTGGGGTAGATTGAAATCTTCTGTTAATTTAATAGCCATAATAGTTCTTGCTTAGCTTGTGATAGTGCAACATATTCAGCTTCTGCTGAGGATAAAGAAACACAAGTTTGTTTTCTTGAAAACCATGAAATACTGTTTTTTACTAATAAAATAACACTTTCTGATGTAGATTTTCTATCTTCAATATCTTGTCCCCAATCAGCATCTGAATAAACTTTAATATTATGTTCTTCACTCGACGAAATTTGTAAGGATAGGTTCTTTGTCGTGTTTAAGTATCTAATGATTCTTTTAACAGCATTCCAGTCCTTTTGACGTGGGTTATTACACCTTCTTCTAAGTATGTGAGTTGAAGCTGTGATTGATATCTGGTCTTGTGATAGACAATATATACAAAAGACTTCCAATAGCTTGACAAAATTTATCATTTGAAGTTAGGAGATTTTCTTCCTTGTTTAGGTTATAATAGTTTGTTTCCATTGGTGTGCTAGCAGGTTTCGCTTCTTCAAGTTGAAATTGCTTGACAAGATGATTTATTTTATTTTTCTGTGATAAGAGATAACTTCCATCTTCCTTGTGATTTATTTCCATGCCTAAGAAATATTTAGCTTCACCAAGATGCGTTATTTGGTAACGTTTCTTTAAATCATTAATTGTTTGAAGAATTAATCCTTCTTCTGTAGAACTTATTAGGATGTCATCAACATACACTATTAAATTAATTCTTTTATCACGAACCACTTTTGTGAAAAGACACGGATCTGCTTTGCTTTGACTGAACCCAAGATTCTTCAATGTATTTTCAATTTTTGCATTCCAGCACCTAGCTGCTTGTTTGAGACCATAAATCGACTTCTGTAATTTACAAACTTTTTGTCTTTCTTCCGGAACCACAAATCCTTCTGGTTGTTCCATATATATTTCTTCATTTAAGTTGCCATACAATGGCTATTTTAACATCTAGTTGATGTACCTTGGCATTGTTATACGCTGCCCATGCTAAGAAAACTCTTAGCGTAGTGTGTTTCACTACTGGTGAAAATGTTTCATCATAATCACTGCCGGATTTTTGAGTAAATCCTTTGGCTACTAAGCGTGCTTTGTATTTTATATTTTTACCAGTTTCATCATATTTTGTCTTAAACACCCATTTGCTGCCTACTGCATGTTTTCCTGGTGGTAATTCTGTAAGTGTATAGGTTTCATTTTCTTTTAGAGAATGTATTTCTTCTTGCATAGCCTTGATCCAAGCTTCTTGTTCACGTTTTGGTAAGTTTAGAATTTCTTCAAGGCTTTCTGAATCTTTATTTTTAGGTAAGATTGATTCTCCGTCTTCTGCTTTATAAGAGAATCTTCATCTTCTTGCGAGTTATTGAAGTGAATTAATTTTAAATCTTCAGCATTATTTTCTGCATGCTTGTCAGATAAAGACGAGTTTTCTGAAAATTTAACAGTTCTACTTACTATTATTTTCCTTCCACCTACATAAATCCCGTATCCCTTACTTCATAAATCATATCCTACGAATATTCCTTCTTCGGCTTTGTTGTCGAATTTACGCCGTTTTTGTTTGTTCACCTAGTAAAATGCTTTACAGCCAAATACTCGTAAGTGACTTAAGTTTGGTTTTCTACCATTCCACAATTCATATGGTGTTCTATCTGTGGCTTTAGTTGGTAACCTATTTTGAAGATATGCAGCAGTAGCTGCTGCTTCAGCCCAGAATTTTTTCGGTAATTTAGAGTTTATTAGCATAGCTTTTGTCATTTCTATTAAAGAGCGATTTTTCCTTTCTGCGACGCCATTCTGTGCCGGACAATAAGGAACCAAAGTTTCATGAAAAATGTCGAGTTTCTTTAAATAATTTTCAGTAGTTTCGTTACAGTATTCTGTACCGTTGTCAGATCTGAGAACCTTTATTTTCTTTCTAAATTTATTTGTTGTCGATGCAACATACTGTTTAAGTTTGTCGAATACTTCATCTTTTGAAGTAATAAAATAAATTTGAGTGTAACGCGAATAGTCATCAATGAAAGTTACGAAATATCTTTTCCCTCCTAAGCTGTTGACTTCAATTGGCCCACACACATCTGTGTGCACTAAATCCAGTGGATTTTTAGATCTAAAAACTAGTTTTGGGATAAGGTGTTTCAGTTAGTTTCGCTTTTACACAAGTAGAACATTCCACACTATGAGTGCATTTGCCAAGTTTAATGCCGTCTGCCAAATCATTTTTCTCAAGTGTTTTTATGGCATCTATATTTCTGTGGCCTAATCTTTGATGCCATTTTAGTATGCAGTTCGTATTAGAACATGAAACATCATTAGCTAAGTATGCTTTCTCGTCAATTGAGTTTATGATCAATTTATATAAGTCTTGCTGAGCATTGCCGCCGGCTACGAGTATATTGTTACGCTTTATGTAACACTTATTACTATCAAATGTAACAATGCAACCTTTAATTGTAACAGATTGAACAGAAAGTAAATTACTATCTAAACCTGGTACAAACAATACGTTTTTTAATTTTATTTTTGTAACCTGACCCTTTAAGTTTTGAACTTTAAAATAGCCTTCACCAATGCCATAAGAATTTAATTTAGCACCATTGGCTACAGTTACTATTTGTTTATTAGAGTCATTTAACTGAGAGAAAAAATTCTTATCACTCGTCATATGAGTTGAGGCTCCTGACTCGATAACCCATTCTTGCGTTTGCGTGTTTTCATGTTTATTTTCCACTTTTAGAACTTGATTAAACTGAATCTGTGAATTTTCAGTTTCAATACTTTTAAGATACTTATTTCCTTTAAGTTTTGTTATGTTTTCTACATTTTGCATATTTGCTATTTGGCATGCATTACTTTTATAATTTTGAGAATAATTTCTTACTTTACTGTTATATACATCTATTTTCGGGGAAGTTCTAGCGTTGTGTTTTAAATGAAAACAGTCATTTATCGTATGGTTATTTCTCTTACAATAAGTACAATATTGTGTACTATACTTTGATTTATTTTCGCTTTTACTTTTTAAAGCAACTGAATCGTATTTTTGAACTTTCTTAGTTTCCACACGTCTACAATACCCATCTATTAGTTTGTTTTTAACATATTCTAGCGACAATTCAGCTTCCGATTTACTTTCTATTGCAGTTATTAAGGAGTTGTATGAATTTGGTAAAGGACATAGTAATATTGCTATTAAGTTATTTTCTTTAATTTCTTCACCTATACTACGCAGCTTTTCAGCCAATTCTAGTACTCCTTTGATATGTTCCTGCATTTTAGAACTTTCATTATATCTAATGGAATATAGTTTTCTGAGAAGAAATAATTTGTTTGTTAAATGTACAGGTTCATGGACACATTTTAACTTCTGCCAAACTTCTTTTGCAGATTTACTATGCAAAACATGGATAATTTGCGAATCCGAAGTGTTTAGACATATTAAAGCTTTAGCTTTACGATCATTCTTTAACCAAATATCAGTAACAGTTTCCGGTTTTTTCTTCGAATACAAACATCATCTAAACCTTCTTTTATTAGAAGTTGTTCTATTTTAAATTTCCACACTGAATAATTTTCATCTGTTAATTTTTCTATACAAATTTATTCTTTTAGAATAGACATTATTATTTGTTACAATTATTCTTGTAAACTTTGTAACTAGTATTTTCAACAAAGAGTTTTAACACTTTATGCCCCTGGAATCTTACAACATTACAAAATTTCAATTTTAGAAGCATTTCCACAAGGCAATTACCTTAATCAGTCTCATAATCTTTTGTTGGTTGTGCATTAGCACTGAAGGCGTAATGAGTACGTTTCCTCAAGCACAGTTTTCATTAAAGAATCATAAATCAAAAAATTAACTACGAAATTTTTATTTAATAAAATAGGATAATTTTGCTTAACTTAAGCATAACAAAAAAGTAATAATCTTCACGGACATTAAAACACTGAAGTATTGAAAAGAATAACGTACATAGAATCATCATCAGTCCTAAATATCAGGCTTACCTATTTTAGGCAATAAGAAAAAAGAAACAGGAACATACTTTGACACCGTACCTGAAAAGAGAAAGTACTAACTGTTTTAGACCTTTGGCCCAGGTGCAAAATAGCTTATAAGGTGAGAATCGAAAGCACTCCACGTAGCTAAGGTGAAAGTCAAATATACTGCATTGCACACGAACTTTACTTTCTCTCGCCAATATATACCTTGGCGCACGTTCGTTTCGTACGCCTTTCGAGTTTCATTATGCAAAATACCCAAATTTATGCTAACAATTTTACATTTTTGTTGTTGTTATATCCTGACGTTTTCACCATACAAAAGTAACAATTGCTTGAGCGATCTTTGGGCTCTCATCAAATCATCTCATCAAATCTTGATCACCAATTTTCACTTTAAAATAGGCTTACCTGGCAAATGTATTGATGTTTGTCCTTTGACTAGAAATGGTGAAACTGCTGCATATATAACAAATGGAATCAGGCTTGTTTCAGCAATTATGACACAAACTAGCAGAGGCAGACATAAGGAAAGGTTTCAGTTCATATATACATAAAAACTAAATGCTACTAATCTTGTGTGCAAACAAGAACTCCAACTCCTTGTCGAAATGTGTTTTAGTGTATCAGATCTACACACAATATCTCACAACAGTATCTCAGTCGTAACTGAACTAATCTCTACACCTGTTGCTAGTCTCCTACAGTGTCGTTCACCCGGCACCAGCCGGAGTGTTTATATCAATCGGTTGGAGAGCAATAGTATTTCCTATGATGCCCACTCGATGTTGTGGAGAGTGGTCACCTCCACATAAGGCATAGAGAAAAAAATTTGATGTGGTAGAAAAAAACTAATTAGAGTTTGAAATCAGCATACTGTTTAACTTTAAAACAGCTAAAATATCGAATTCAACAGAAATTGTGTTGCAGATTGTTCTCTGGTGTAATATATTTGTTTGCAATAAAACCTTTAACCAATCATGTGACATGTAATAAGTCTAGACCATTGTAATTCTGTTACAGTTACAATTTGGACTGTATTTCATTAAAATTCTGAACTCAACTTTTAAAATTTTCATCAATTTTCGCTGAATATTTAGATGGTAATTTCTGTATCTTGTTCATCTGTAATAATGCACTTACATTGTAGAGCCAGCATCTTGAATGATGATCATGTGGAAAATATACCTTCCAGAATGCAGATTTCCGCAAGTTGGTCATATGCTTTATTATTATTTTTTTTTATACACATGGTAGTATTAGTATGTAGTATTTGTATGGTAGTATTAGTAGGTTTTCCCTTTAGTATTGAATAAATTTTGTATTATGCAATTTCATGCTTCAAAAACAGTAACCAGTTTTTAGTGGGCTGTTATATATATAAATTCAATAGTCTGCCACATTATATGTTGTTGACAAAATTTTGCAATTAAGTGAAACAGAAGTTCTGTAGATTGAATAACAGAACATTGAAATTCCTTTTATAAATGGCTGCCTGTTCAGGTTTAGATTTTCAGCCATTAGCTGGCTTAAAAGCCAAGTACTGATCAAAACTTCATGTGTGAAAAAATAAATAAAAATAACTCTATATTTAAAGTTGGTGCCAAGATTTAATACTATGTAATAGTCGACAAAATCAGGTTATACTTTACTAAAAGATATGAGAATGTTGCTAATTCATTTTTTTTAATCGAACTTTTTATAAAGATTGAAAGCACAGGATTATTTTGTGGTGAGTGGAAAATCAAATTTAATTAAATATATTAGATAAAATTAAATTTATCTGTGCAGTTTTCTTTATGGTAAAAAGATATTTCAAAGTACAGTTTGATTGCATTACCCCCCTAGTTTATTGGTGTAATCCCTCTGAACATTTTATTATTTAAATGTGGTTTTAGTTTTTCTAAATTTAAAAAAAAACCCTGGCTGAGTAACTCATAATTTGCAAAGCCCTTCTAAAACTTTAAAATGTTTAAAAAGTTATGAAATAATGCAAGTTCTTACCAAGTATATTGTATGTAAGCCACAAGAATAGAGTAGCCTGCAATAACATATTTATGGTGTGACAGAGGTCACAATTTCACTTTCAGAAAGTCTTCAAATTTAGGCTAGTTAATTTTAATAAATATGATTTAAAATGGTTAAAACCTTCTGCATAAAACATTCTAATATATCAGTATATGAACCAAATAAATGCTTCACAAGCCACTGCCAGTATCATCAATTCTGAATTTAATGAATTAGAAATTTACAACAACCAACAAATTCATAAATAAAATGAAGCATAAGCAGTTTAAAGAACTATCTAGAGTTCCTTCTTGTAACAATTTTCTTTTGCCTTCTGCTTAAAATTTATGTATTTTGTAGTATAATTTACTGCTTCTAAATTTTTTTCTACAGAACAATTTACGAAAAACTGTCTGAAGCTTTGAATGAGGAAGAAATAGTTCTCTACAAACAGAGAGTGGAGGAGCTGATGCCAAATATTCGTTACTGTGCCTACAACATTGGAGATGAAACTGCAATTAATGATCTTATGAAAATGAGATTATCTGGAAAGACATCAGGAGAAGATATGTTAGGTGCTGATTTAGATGTAAGTGTTAATTTTATATAATATACTCACTGTTGAGTTTAAATAATGTGTTTGAAAAAGTTTGACATTCATGCCTTGTCTGAAACTGGGAATTTTGGTAGCAATAACGTAAAGTAAGAAAATGAGACTGACAGTAACAAAGTTTTAATTTTATTCAACTGTGAAGATTTAATTTTGAGAGTTGCCAACTACAGATGCTATCTTTATTTAAGAAGTGAAATATTGTATGTTTTTTTATTTTTAAAAATTTGTAATCATAAACTTTACTTTAAGTGGTAGATTATAGAAGTTAATAATGTCTTTGTATTTATTTCTTTCTCTCTCACTGTCTTTTTTTTTTTTTTTTTTTTTTTTTTTTTTTTTTTTTTTTTTAAGCATTTAATAGCTCAAACGAGAGAAAAACAAGCTGTCACTCTATCTGAGGTTGAATGGAGAAATCGAAAAATACCCGTGCGTCATGAAAAAATTAGATTGTTTCTATTAAACGTTCAGGATTCTCATACACAAGTTGAACAAGCTCCAAACTTGCAGGCCAAAATAGCAGTCTATGAACGATTGCTGTTGGATAGCAAAGATGCTATACAAGTTGTGAGAGATGAAATGAAAGATCAGGTTGCTTTTACTTTTTTAATTTATTGTCACTATTACATGACATGTAAAGTAAAAAAAAAAAACGACTTTTAATAAAAATGTACTGCAGAATTCCAATAATCTATATAAGTTGGAACCAAAAGTTGTGAAGGTTATAGGTCATGTTTTTCTCAGTTTATATATATATATTTCGCCTATTTTAATTTTTATTTTAAACTTAGATTTTTTGCAAGTAATTCAAACATTGCTATCAAAACATTGCTTAATCTAGATTTATAGAATACAAAAACATTATATTTTCATGCACAGTTTTACGCAAAGAAAATAATCCTGATGAGGAAAAAGGAATAAATAAATCTTTCCAAAAGCATCTCTTTCAAAGTAAATAATCCTTGCATACTTTGGCGTTAACCAGATCATATAGTTAACTAGTAAACATTGAAGTTCTGAACAATTATACAGTAAACACCAAAGCGTTAGGAAAGTAGAGGTTGGAAATTCTGTGATATTACTGTAATGATAATTTTAAAACTAACTCTGTTATTTCATTCTTGTAATCTTGTCCAAAAAAATATAAAATGTTCTAGAACTATGTTTTGATTGCCTCCCACCACCACTTGAATTTTCCCTTCCTTATGTATTTCTGAATTTTCAAACCCTGTACTCTTCAAGACACCTTGCATGCTGATTGAAAATCATTGCATTAAGTACTTAACAGTAACTTGCATGATTTTTTCTTTTAATAATTTTTGCTCTAATAAACCTTATTGCATTAGTTCTGCAAAAAACATTTTATGTGTGTGCATGTGTTATAAAACATAAATAAGATTAATTTTGTGATTATTTTATTTACAGACTGCTAAAGGTCGTTCAGAAGCTGTGCACTCCAGCCTTGCTTACTTGCATTCTTACCTGACATATATTAGACTTTCTAAAACTGTAGAACGAAACTTGTTATTCATTGAATCCCTTAGGCAAAATATGGGTTCTTCATTAGATGTGTCTCTAGATGGCAAGAAAGTCACAAAACCTCAAGACTTGGTTCGACCGTATGAGATTATCATTCAGGTATGATATCACCTGTGTTTCCAAACTATATGGCTTTTTTAATTATGTCCTTACACTTTTATCTGGTATATTTTCTAATAAAGTGCTTAATATGTTATCTTTCCCTGATCATTAAAAAGACCAATTTGCTAGAACTTCATAGTGCAAACTCTGAGATCCAGAATCATTGAAACTTCGACTCCATACTTGGAATTTTTTCATGTTAGATCATCTAGTTTAAATCTAGTAAGATGATATGCAGAAATTATAAAATCAAAAATATGAAACAATGAAATGTTTATGACCTGAAGGGAATCGAAATTTAGAAAGCAAAAGCTCAATATTTGTTTGTTTGCTTTATTAGACATTTCTTTCAATGCAAGTTGTTTAATTTCTTTTGTTTTTGTGCCAATACTTTCTATTTAAATCTATAGATACATGTAATTTTTTGGTCATTTACAAAGTTCTATTATTCAAGTACTGTAATTGCTATGTCAAGAATTTCCACTAAATTGGCAGTCAAAATTTTTTCATTTTCAACAACTTCTCTTTCACTTTCTGCACTATCGATAGCAATATTTCCGAAATTTTGAATCATACTACAGATTTCACTAGCCTTTAGTTGATTGATAATTAAGGCATTATCATCGCAATGAAAAGCCCGTTATATCATTTTCATTTATTATCTCTTCTCCAAGTTTCTTTAAAAATTCCATTAATTAGAAAATTTTGCTTTTTATTTGCAATATGCAAACACCGTCAAAAATTTGTGGCTATCATCATGAAGCTTAGCTAGTGGATGCTACTTATGTGCCTTTCAAAATTAGTGCACAGATGACTTTCCTTCTATTATTTTGTCAAGGAAATGTAATAGGTTTACAGTGTGTACCATTTGTGACTGGAATTTTTCATTTTTGCATGATGGAAGAACCAATGTTCTTAAATATGTGTGAATGCGATGACAAATCTGAAACGAAAATTTTAACTTTTGTGTTTAAACGAAGGACAAAAATTTATTAATTCAGAATGCCTGTTCTTACCAATAGTGAAATCACTAAGAAATACTGAAGGGGAAGCAAAAAAATGGCTACATTTTGTTAAAGAAATACATGAAAAATAAATCTTCAGCTATTGATTTCATTAAAACAGCTCCATTTTGCTCTCTACAGATGAATTGATGTAAAACTGTATCCAGTTGTTTCTTTGTTTAATCTAGAGTCTTTAGAAATTTAGTTTACTTCCTGTCTTCACTTTAGGAGGGGCTTCGGCAGCCTTTAATAATTGCTTAGCACTTGATGCCGACAAGGCATTATTAATCGTAGGCTTGAAGACTAGCATTTCAGGTATCTTGACAAAAGAAAATTCAGATCTGCAAATTATAAGGTGTACCTGTCATCTCTTAAATTTAGCCGCTGAAAAGGGGGCAGCTTTTTTACCAATAAGTGTGGATGAACATATTGTTAATATTTATTATTATTACCTTGAAAAGAGTTCTAAAAGGAAGGAAGAATTGACACAATTCCTACAGCTGCATAATACTGAAATAAGAAAAATTTTGGAACATGTTGCTCATGCTGGTTATCTTAAGAGAAATGTTTATCTAGAATCCTCGACCAATGGAACCCTCATCTTACGTTTTAAGAAAGAAATGCATGCTTCTAGAGTTAACCTTCCAGCACGTGCGCTTGGCAATTTTACATGAGCACGGGCACGTCATTATTTAACCATTTTTCGCAAGAAAAACGAAAGAAATGAGTAAATATTGATAATAAAAGAAAATAAAATTAATCTTTTATAGCAAAATACAAATGATATCACATTCAAATGTAAGTAAATTATTTTTAAGTTCTTGTAATGTAGAGGAATGCAATGATATATTTCATTATAGAACATTTTAAATTTATTATTTAATAATTATATTTTAAAAATTGAAAAAAAATTTAATTTCATCAAAGGCAAGTACAGACAAACAAAAATAATATAAATATAACTTTTTTTTTCCCTTGGTAAAGGAAAAAAGTAGTTTAGCATTACTTACTTCTGCAAGAAAATACTTCTTATTACAAAAATTATTCACTTTAAAAACGCACTTTAAAACTTTAATATTTTTATTTAATTCTAAAAATAGCAATAAAAAATAAGGAATGGAAATCGATTATTTCTCCCATCCAAAGGTTTCCCTTCTTCGTCAGATAATTCTTGAAGAATATGAGCAAAATCAGCTAGTGCAGATTTTTTATTTTTTTGCCATGAAAACTGATATAAAATTTACAGAGCCAAATGTATTCAAATTAAAATTATACACAGCAATTAATAACAAAATTCCAAAATATTTGAGAAAAAATATTTTCCAAAACTTTTAAAAAAATAGCTGCCACGTAGCACAATTGCCCAGTTAAAAAAATAAGTCAGATGACTTCCTGTTGGCACATTCCATGATGTGGGGAAGGGTAGAAAGGAGGAATAGAAATGACGTTCAGACTTCTCAGCTTCGATATGCGAAAAATGTGCATTAAAAACTGAATTTGTCGTAAATTTTTGCGCATACGCGCATGCAGGAAGGCTATAAGATAAAAGACTAAAGTTATAAAATATCTGAATTACATGGAGATGTAATTACTACTTCTACTTTTAACAATAGGTGTGAAAAAAATTAAGTAATTTTTGGTCATGTACACAATTTAATTGGCAATTCTCAAAATATAAGCATAAAGCTGATTCAGAGTTTTGAAAAAAATTGCTGAACATGGAAAACATTTTCTGATTACTGCAGTTTATTTTGTGAGAAGCAAATATTTATGTTTTTCTTTATGGACCCTGATGTTCTTAACACAGTTCTATAGAGGAGAATTCCATTAATTCATGTTTTGTAATCAAGGGTTAGTGATCCGTTTAAAGACCTTTTATCAAAGTTTGTAAAACCAACCTTTGTTTTGCGTTCTAATCCTATATATCATGTAATTTATGGCAAAATTGAAAATTAGAAGGAAGATGATGATTTGATAAATATGGGTTGCAACTAACAAAGAAGCGAAAGAATGTTCACAGGAAGACAAAATAAGTTTTAATTCCATGTTAGAAACTACTTTTAACAAGTATGTGATCACATATTACATAAATTTCCAATCAACAGATAAGTATTTTACATGCTAAAGTTGCCGATGTTTCTTCTCTAGTAAATGCTTTTTTTTTTTTTTTTTTTTTTTTTTTTTTTATATACAAGATATTTTTTTTTAATAGCTATCCAGTTTTACATCACTTAGGTATGAAAGACAATGATATTGATTTTGCAACTGATAAACTGAAGTTACAAAACCAGCAAGGATTCACATCCAGTAGAGTTTAGTTGGAAAACAGAAAGGTTCTGATGGAATTTTACTGTACAGTAAATATTCTAGGATAATGTTGGACATCTTGACAATTCCCCACAGTAATGCAGATATTGAGAAGATTTTTCAGTATTGTTGCTACAATAAGGATTAAATTTAGATACAATATTCTTAATGACACATTACAAAACCCTTTATTAGCAATAGCAGGCCTATGTGACTATTAGTATGTATAAAAATTTCTTTCTTAACAAAAGCAAAATCTGCCACTGTTCTTAGCATTTGTATGAAAACTAATTAAAATATCAACTTACAATAAATATCGATAGTCGGGGGAATGATGTGTGTCTCCTTCATGAGTCATAATTTCTCAAGTTGATTTCGTTTTCAGGAAACAGGTTGGGAGAGCATTAGAATTTCAAATCAAAACTTCAAGATTTCACAGAAATAACGTTTATTAACGATAAACTTAATGATATAGTATATTACTTGCGCCTATAGCGGCCATGAGAACATAATCAAGCATCAAAAAAGTATGAAATGCGTCTATCTTCAAGTTCAAGCGTCAAGTGGAAATATTTTTCATCGGCGTGCATCAAGAGCGCCACCTATCTACCGAAAAGACGGAACATACTCCGCCCCGATGAACATTGGTTCATTACAACATTGTTATAAAGATCTTCAATTTTAGATTTAAACAAGTTTCCCAAACATTCAACAGTATATCATATAAAATAAAAATGCATAATGACAAATTTAAATTGAATAACAACATTAAATTTAGCACAAAATTTTACAAATAAAACATACTTACAATCTCTAGAAGGAAAACAAAATAATGAAACTGCTAAATTACCATAATCCACAATTGTGGTCCATTCTCTGAATCTGAAACATAATTGAATTAATAACAGTAAAGACACAAATTATGAATATGCAATTAATGTTTTTTTTTTTTTTTTTTTAGAGTCTTATTCACTCAATGGTAAGCGGGAAAGTTTATGTATAGGACGCTTCATTTTGCCCAATAAAGTTTTTAGTTTCACAACACGAACTTTTCCATCAGCACCAGGATATAGTTCAATTACTCGTCCAAGTCGCCACTTTAATGGAGGCAAATTTTCGTCCTTTGTCAAGACTGTCATTGAGGGCTAAATTTGGTTTATCCCTCAACCATTTGGTACGCCCTTGTAATTGTGAAAGATAATCTCTAGACCAACATTTCGAAAAGCTCTGGAAAATTTGCTGTGTCAATTTCCATCTTTCAGCAGGGGTTAGCTTATTATTTGTAAGATCAGGTTCAGGAATTGCTGTTAATGTAGTCCCAATTAGGAAATGTCCGGGTGTTGAAGGATTAAAATCTTCAGGGTCAGATGAGATGGAAACTATTGGCCTGTAATTCAAACACGCCTCGATCTGTGTAATTAAGGTGTGAAATTCTTCGTATGTCAGAACCTGGGTCCCAATAGTCCGCTTTAAGTGAATCTTCATTTGTTTCACTCCAGCCTCCCAAAGGCCTCCAAAGTGAGGGGCAGCAGGAGGCTTGAAGATCCATTGAATATGTTCACCGCTCAGGTAGTTTTGAAATGCTTCCTCAGAGGAAAGTGTAGCTGTATATCTTCTTAACTCTCGATCAGCCCCAACAAAGTTGGTTCCTCTATCTGAAAAGAATTTTTGGGGTTTTCCTCTGCG